AAGGTGGAGAGTCAGTAAAAGAGAAGAAGAATATTGAGGAGATGTATTGACATAGTGACTGAAGTAATGAACTCTAGTGTGTTAGGGATGAGGAAGACATTATAGAATAGGACAGGGCCCAGATTTGTTGTTTACAGAGTTGTTATGAGCTGTCCTCATTTCAGTACCTAATAAACATCATAAATTATTCAGCTATGCAATAAAACCAAACTGTAATTGAAATTTAAATTAGTTGTCATAGAGTCGATTCTAGTTCCTTTAGACAACACAATTCCAGAATAGAATTGTGTTCCATAAGATTTCGATGATTGTAAATCATTTCAATGACTAATCTTCAGAAAATAGATCACCAAGACCTTTTTTCCCCTATGCTTACCATTGGATGGTTTTGAACTATGGATTTCAGTTGGTAACTGAGAACTCATCATTTAGCTCATAGGGAACCCAACTGTATCACATAATAACAACAACAACAACAACAACAACAATAATAATAGTTGTTGTTGTTATGTACCATCGAGTTACTTGCAACTCATAATGACACTATGACCACTAGTTCTGAATCCTATGCTATCCTGAGTCAATCTCACAGTCTCTAACACCTGCCCTTATTACTGAAGTCACTGTCAATCCATCTCATCTAAGGTCTTTCTGTCCTTCACTGATGCTCCACCCTTCAAAGCAGCACGTCCTTCTCCAAGGACTAGTTCTTTCTGGCAACATGCCCAAAATATGTGAGACAGTTTCAAAATGTTTGCCTCCTAGGAAGAACCTGGTTTCACCTTCTCCAGGACAGACTTATTTGTTTTCTTGGCAGTTTATACTATGTTCAGTACTCTTCTCCAGCACCACAACTTAAAGGCTTTCATTCTTTTCCTATCATCCTTCTTCATTGTCCAGCCCTCTAATGCATAGTAATTAATTGTGAAAACCTACTAATTACTATTTTACAATATTTTAAACTTTTTTTTTGCTTGAACTAAGTAGAGCATAATGTGTTGCACTGCTAATAAAAAGGTTAGTAACTCAAATCCATAGGCTGCGCTGGGGGAGAAATATGGGCCTTTCTTTTCCATAATGATTTATGATTTCAGAAATCAATAGACAATCACTATGAATTGAATCAAATGGCCAGAAGTGAATCTGTTTTTTGAGTTCTTATAACAATTTAAGGAATTTACATGCATGTAATAGAGAGCTCTGAGTTATTCTGCTAACTCAGAGGTCATGCATCTCTGGGAAGTTTGAGTCCACAGTGGCTTCACAGGAGAAAGACTGGCAATTTCAATCTTGTTTACATCTACCTTTTTTTAAATTTTCTACTAGTTTATTTTAAAAACTCAAAGACATTGTTTTCTTTTTTTTAAATTTTATTAGTTTTAATGAACATTTACAGAGATTTTGGGTTATCATTCATTCATTGTTGCACTGTTTCCTCTACCCTCCTCCCCATGGCACCCTAAATAGTACTTTCAAGTTTCTTTTTATAAAAATACATGTTTTCCTTTTTCAAAAAATTCTTTTTAAAGCAATTATTTTCTAAATATATTTAACTTAGCATTATATTCTGAAAACTAGACACAAATCTTGCTCTCAGGCACATATAATGCAGTTGAAATATAGGAAATTTCTCATATTTATTAAAATTATAAATGTGGATGAAATGTCAAAGGCAATGAGTAGATCACAAAATACACAGACGTTAAGTGTAATGTTTAAAGGAAAAAAATAACATGTTGCATTTGTCTTCTTGCAACTATACAATTCATTATTTTTACAACTTCAATGGAAAGGAAAAAATAATACAACTGAACCAACAGCAAAATCCTAACAGATGAAGGAATGATTGAAGTTGTCAAGGATTTCATTTTACTTGAAGCTACAATCACCATTCACATCAAGAAAGGAAAGGACATGCTGCATGGGAGAATCTGCTGTCTGGGAACTCTTCAACATAGTCTTTAAGGACTAACGCAAACGTGATCCAAGACGTCGCTTTTTCAATTGCTCCTAAGGTATGTGAAAGTTGGACAATGGACTAAAACACAGCAGAGATCGTAACAATGGTGCATGATTAAGTAAGTTTTGACCTGTTTTATACCGGTTCAATGTGAGTCAGAGTCAATGTGACATCACCTAACACAAAAAAGAGAATTCTTTAGAGTGCTTTAACCTTGAAAGGGACCCTCATAATTAAGTATGAAATTTAGAACTTAAATTATTAGCTGAAGAAATATTGAGGGAACTTCATCAGTAGAGCATTTCTTAAAATCCTTTTACCTTGTTGTTTGTGTTTATTTTTAAAAAAACGTCATAAGTCAAGAGATGTTGAGTCACAGAGAAAAGGCAAAGGTACACAGTCAATTTCTATTATAAATAATTGATTGGCGAGACTTACCTCTGCTATGAGTTGCTGAAGAGAAGGAGATGCCACAGGATGCAGACTTGAGTTGCCTCTTATAGGATTATGTAGACTAATGTAAGCCACAGCGTTTCTCTGCAGGACCTTCCTGAAATCCTGGAATTCCAGAAAGAGTCTATCATTAACATAGATGCAAATAAAGGTTTGAACTTTATTCCTTAGATGCTGAAAAAGAAACACTTTCTATTTAAAATCATTACATTACGGAAGTACCTTTTAAAACAAGGAGATCAGTTTCAGACTATACAATGGAGAACACAATGATGATAAAAAGATTTTAAGTAATAATGATGAGAAGTGTGGCTCTAACAAACTGTAAAATAAAGCATGTTCTCACAAAAGTATAAATTTAAATAATTGTTAAACAGTTAACATAGTCTAGAACTCAAATTCTAAAAATGAAAAACATCATTTGCTCAGTAACAATACTTACCTTAATGGTCCCTGAGTTAGAGAACAGGCATGGGTAAGCTACTTTTGTAATTGATGAAGCCAGTGCTTGCCTTTGAAGCAATGAGTGATATTTTACATGATATTTCTTTTTATTCGGAGCGTAATGACACAAAATACCATTGTGTCCCTGCCGTTATCACCTAATATAAAACCTGTAAGTCATAAATATTGTTGCCATGTACCATTAAATCTGAATCAACTCATAGCTGACCCTCAAGTGGGTTTACAGAGGCAGTAAATTGCACCAGAGGTACCTCTGGTGGTCTAGTGATAAGGACTTGCAATGCCAAAGGGCTGTGGCTTGAATCCACCAGATGTTCTGTGGGAGAAAGATGGGCAATCTCCTCCTGTGAGATTGATCTGCTTCTGAAAACTCACTGAAGGGTCAGCCATGGCTCGGTTTCGACTTGATGCACTCAACAACAACAACCGAAGATTGACAACTCAGGACCCAATATGTGGCTGCACAGAAGCAAGACTTGGGGACTGCTTCCATAATGATTCCAAAACCCCAAATACACAGTGGTTGAGTTAATTTACTCAAATAACCCTATGGAAGCAGAGCAGAACTTTCCATTAGTGCTTCCAAGGCTATAAATCTTTCTCATAACAGACTGCCACTGTATTCCCTCCTCAGCATAAGTTGGTCAGTTCAAAACTCAGATGGTTTTGTTGTGGTGGTTATTGTTGTTAGAAACGGACAGTTTTAACTACAAGGAACTACAGTGATATCACAGCTCTTTTATACAAAGACTAACCCCCAAAAGCAAAGCTAACCACTCAGGATGGCCCCACTTAGATTTCTAAAGTGGTAAATGTTTGTTGAGGAGACTGATCACCTTTTTCCTACAAAGCCGCTGGTGGACTTGAACAGGTGAACTTTTAGTTGGTAGTTTAACTAAAACAATAGGACTCCTAATGAGAAGTTTACAGACTAGGAAATTCAATAAATTATCACCTTCAAAACAAGACTAACAAAGTGACGATTTCGTAGATATAATCTAGAAATAGTATTCTCAAGTCTTGAAATAGGGACCGAAAGCGATGCTACCAAGCCAAAGGTGGGTGACTAATCCGCAGACCTAAGGCCTGTTTTTCATTGTTTTTCTTCAAACATTCTTCCAGGTCGTATAACCCTGGTGTGTCCACTTGCTGGACAGAGGTAACATATGGTTGCTGTGAAGCTGAACGCTGTCACTGCTGTGTAAAATGTGATGATGGTCACCCATGGTGGACAGTGTTTGGTGGAGCTCCCTGGTTGAAACAAGCTTGGAAGCAGGAGTGGCATCCAGTTCTGTAAATAGCCTCCAGAAACCCTATGACCCTGGAGAAAGGATGAAAGTCACAGAGGTATGAGGACTTTAGTTCATAGGGTCACTATGAGTCGCCAGTAGCTCGACGGCACTTAACAACAACAACAACAACAATAACAACCACTATTAAAGTTTACAAAGATATTTACCTATCAAGTCACGACTGTTACTCTCATTTTAGGAAAAAAATCAACTATGTCCTAGTGATAGGTGAAAAACATTAATTTTAAATTAACAAATATTCTAAATAATCTGAAATGGTGAATTTTCTGGTTCAACTAACCTATCTGACAAATAATGTTCAATAAATTGTTCATTTCTGTTAAACTGCATTCAAAAGTGACTACTGTTTATAGTGGACTTCCAAGGCACTTTCTCTGTGCAAATCAAGGTAATGTTTACAGAAATCCCATTCATTCCCTTACTCATTTGAGAAAGAATTCAAAGACATTAACCTTGCCAAATAACACATAGTTTATTACAGGCAGGTTTTTATTTACTCAATTCTTCAGTCAATAGAAAAGAAGGGATAATATTTTTTACCCAAAGTAAACAATCTCTTTGGCACAATATTATGATTTTCTAAGAAGATCAGGACAAGTATTGAGTTAATTGAGTTAATTCTCTAATAATGCTATCACCATAAATCCTTTTTTTAAGTGTATTGATCAGCATTACCTAATCCTCTTATAACTCTAGGCTTCAAGTTTTCTATGCAAGAAAAATTAAATAGGAAAACATGAACAATCAACAAGTGCTTATCTCAGACACCTGCATTATGGAATATATGTAGTGAGAAAATCCCAGAAAGAGTAGATTTATTAAGAGTAAATAAAAAACTCAACAAATCTAAAAAACAATCATAAGGATCCACACAGTCGAATGCCTTTGCACAAAGAAAGCATTTCATTTCCATAAGGACGAGATTGAGTAAGATCAGATAGAAAAGGAAAACGTAACGATTTTTACAAATGCATCCTCAACTAAACAGTCTACAAAATGGCTTTATAAATGGCATTAAAATCATTATAAGAGACACAGGAGAAGGAAAATATGCTTTATTTGCAAACAAACATCTAAACTGTTCAACAGACTTGTTAACTTATATGTTAATCTAGTCATGAGAAAAGCCAAAGAGAGACCGAAGTGAAAATCAGTTGTCAAACACACATCCATGCATAATCTATCATTGCTGTTGAGTTGATTCTAAATCATTGCTGTTGCGTACTGTCAAGTTAGAACTGACTCACAGCTAACTTCCGAGCCTCTTTTCAGAGGCTGTGAGCCGAATAGGAACAGGTTTTCCGTCTTTAACCTGTGGAGTAGTTGGTGGCTTCAAACTCTCTGACTTTGGATTCCTTATTACCATGTCACCCTTTTCACTGGGTTTCAGAGGCTACAAATCCTTACAGGAGGAGGTTGTCATATTCCTCCACTGCAGTACCCAGTGAATTTAAACCACTGGTATTTCAGTAAACAGCCTAACATGATACACACTGTACTACCAGGGCTCTTTTCCTCAATGACAGTAGCCTTTAATTTTTGGAGAACGACTTTTTTAACACAATCATTTCCCTCACCCCAGAGGCTCTTGCATTATAGCGGTCACATTTTTAGTATCTGTTGAAAATATCAAACTGCCACATCAAACTATGAATGCATTAGAATTTAAAACACATTTTTTCATTTTATTAGCAATTAGAACATCTGTTTAATATAGAAAATATGTATAAAAAATGGAAAGTCATATTATTGAGTCGATTGGTAGGGTCAACCCTTGATCATCAAACAGATCTAAGGACTCTTTGCAACAAATCTCCTCATGCAGGATATTTAGATCCAGAATTAACAATATTGTCCTTGTGGCTAGTTGCCATCAAGTTAGCTGCAAATGATAGCAACCCTGCAGCCAATTGTTGTTGTTAAGTGCCGTTGAGTCAAGAGGACTCATAGAGACCCTATGAACAAAAGACCTGAACACTTGTATAACTTCTATCGTTTCTCCAAGTTCATAGGGTTTGCAGAGGCAAGCTATTTCAGAGGTGGATGCCACTCCTGCTTCCAAGCTTGTTTTATTGGGGAGCTCCACCAAACACTGTCCACCAAGGGTAACCATTATCACATTTGACACATCAGTCTCACAGTATTCAGCATAACAGCAACCATGAATGTTTGACCAAAACCAGTTTAAACCAAGCCCGAGGGCTGTGGATTAAAATCACCCACCTTGGGCTTGGTCACATGAGAAGAATCTAACTAGGAATCCTGTTAACACCCGCCAACCCCACCCCAAAACCTTACAGTCACATCCCTTTAATGTATGGAGTCTAGTGTTATCACTAATGTCTTCAGTACAGTTTGGATTTCTGCTTTAATTGTCATTGATTGTTGCTGTTTGTTGTTGGTGTGATAAAGTCGAAACCAACCCTAGCTGACCCTCCAGCCAGTTTTCTGAGGCAGTTAATCACACAGGAAGAGCTTGTCCATCCTTCTCCCTTGGGGCAGCTGGTGACCTGGAACCATGTCCCTTTGGGATTGCAGCACAGCTTCCTGCCACAAACATTCCTTTAATATTTGGAATCTGGTGTTTTCATCAATGTCTTCAGTACATATTGGCTTCCTACCTCAATTACCATGGATTATTGATACTATTATTACTTACTGCAGTTGAGGGAACTTGAACTTACATACACACCCTACTGGGCTTCTGAGTCTGGATTTCTTAACAGAAGACTCTTCTTCTCCCAACGAAGCCAGTGATAGATTCTCACTGCCCCCGACTCTGAGCTGCTGCTTTGCTGTACAGTTAACTGCCCGCTATGCTATCAGAGCTCTTTGAATATTAATGTTAGACAAACTCATCTTGAGAACATAGTTTAGCAATATACACATTCATTTAGGATTATTCTTAATTGATTGTGAAATGTTTATGTATTATCTTGGAAGGCTTCATGATAAAGGGGAATAAATCATAGTTTGAAAGAACCATTAAATCATTGCATTCAAAAAGACACATTTTCCTGATATTATTTTTTAAAAGCTTAGAATATTTACTTGTGTATGTATATGCATATATTTAAAAATATTATTTTTCTTATTTGTATCTTTAAAGTAAAATAGTTGGAATAGAAGCGTGAAAAGTTGGCTGAGCTATTATATCTTTTAGCCTTCTTAAAAATTTGTCAAGTGAAGGTTCTTTTAAGATTGAAATGTCTTCATTTGATTTTGTTTTCTTGAATATGGAACAAACATTCACACCACTAATTTGCACGTGGAGAAAGATTCCAGTTTGCAAAGTGTGAATCTTGATGAATTTTGCACAGCGTAAAT